TCCACGTAGGTGGGGCACTGTTACACAAAAACATAGCTGCAGTACATGTATGCTGAATTTTCTATGTAGCTGCGCATACCACAGGGATGAGGTTCGATGCGAGCAGTCCAGTGCGACTGTTACAGATCGCACTGGCCGCAGCTGACCGGAAGAATAGCCGGAAGTAAACGTTTGATACCTCGTTTTCCCTACTGCAGCTTCAACTGCAAGCGCTGCTTGACCCGTCAAACAAGTGCGCGAGTAATGGAACTGTAAAAAGTAGCCTTTTGCTGCCGACTGTTACTCTCCCTCTCTCTCGGAGACTGCCAGGAACAAACTGAAGGTAGTTTCAGCTCTCTAAAGAGTAGTTTAAATTCAGCGACTTTTCTTGGCTGTTTTTGTATCCGAGCAAACACGGTGCGATCGAGAGGAACAATTTGACTTCCTCACAGAAGCCAGCGAGCATTACACTACTGAGCCGGGATTTTCCCCTCGTAAATCTTATACCTCTTAAATTTATCAGGTACTGGATTTGTATCCATCTGAACTGTTATTTGAGTCATGGATCTGTGCACAGTTTGTGAGAGAGAAAGGGAAGAGCGACCTTGAAAGTCCAAATATTTAAAATCAGACTGGTAGGGAAACCTTTTGTTGTGCCAATCTGCGTATACTTGATGAAAATTCCGTACAAAAATTTGGAAAGCAAGATCACGCTTGGTGTTTCACATTTCGTGGCACTGCTTTACACTTTCTGAAGTGTTTCTTTTCTTATCAGACCTGTTTCCTCCGTTACTGTTACAAGGCGCATCAAGATTTGGGTTTTCGACTTCAGTCATAATGTATTCCTTTAAAATTTCATTTTGTACACCTCAGAGGCTCAGCGCAAGTAAAAACTCCACCTGTTCTAAATGAGCGAATGGTAAGATACAGTTACAAGCACAACTTTCTCCTTTTTTACGCGTTTTGTGCTGTGTAACAGCAGTATAAAGCGTATATTGTCACTGGGTTGTCTGTGTGTATGTGTTGTGTGTGTGTGTGTGTGTCCGCAGCAACTTGTCTGCAACTTTCAACTCAGGAACCACAAAAGCTAAGAAGCTAAAAATCTAGGGGATCGATTCCCATCAACGTGTGACCCCGCAAATTTAAATTCAGCCTCCCTGTACTCGCGGGTAACACGTACGGCCCTGAAAAAGTTTGGGCGGGTAAAATCATTATCACTGGGACCGCGGAAGCCACAAGGCTAGGCGGAAGCTAAAAGAAATTTTGCGAACACGTTCCCTGCCCAAATGCTATCAGAAAATTTAAATTAGCCTTCCACTGCCCGCGGGTAACACGCACGGCCCCGTAAAAGCTTTGACAGATAAAATTATTATCTTGAGAACCACGGGAGCTGGAAGGCTGAAATTTTGTGAATCTGTCCTGTACTCAAATGCAGCCCAGAAAATTTAGAGTCAGCCTTCTCTTATCCGCGAGTGATACGAATGGCCCATAAAAAATTTGGCGGGTAAATTATTATCTCGGGGGCCACAAAATCTACGAAGCTGAGATTTTAGAGTAATGACTCCTTATCCACGCACGACCTTGCAGACTCAAATTCATCGTTCTTGCGCTCTCTGGTGTCATCTGTGGCCCCGTCAAAATTTTAGCGCGTAAATTATTATCTCGGGAACAATAAAAGTCAAGAAACCGCAGTTTTACGGTAATGCCGGTGCATGAGATTTCACGTGTTGGTGTCTGAAATTTCTAAATATTTTCCAACTTTTCAACTATCTTTGCACAGACCAAAGTACAAAGCAGTGAAAACCATAAACAAGCAATCGCTCGGCGGGCGAATTGCACAAAACACGTGATCGCACCCAGCTGGTTTTGTGCGCTTTGCTATTTATTATTCTTGGAGTAAATGGATGTGTTGCTTAAATAAGGAATTGGAGCCTGAAATCCCAAAAGCAGAAGAAGTTCAGTGACCATGCTCCCCTTTCCAACAGCCGCATGCAGTGGCTAATCTCGTATGTGGTATCTTCAGGCTTGACTTTGAAGCGCCAAATGCAGTGGACGCATTCGATTGCTAGGAACATCCCTGCACACTGAGAATCAATGAGTTCCACGATCAGTCCACGTCGCTTCTTCAGTGGGCCCTAAAAGAGCTCAGAATTTGCATGCAACAAGCATCATACGCATTTTTGCATAAGTCATTTGTGCAAAGTGTGTAACTGCATACGAAGAGCAGCTTCTCATCAATCGCGGCACTGAATCCGTGTTGGCAGGTCGGCCAGGCTGGCGAGTGGACGCATTGCGTCTCTCTTCATCGATTGACGGCTGCTCGTACGTGTGCGTCACGCACTGTAGCAATTGGCTCTCCCTTTCCTGGCGTAAGCATCAGTGCGCCTCTTCGTACGTGTTTCTCCCTGTACGCGCAGCGAGGCATTTCCATAAGCAATCCGGCTGCTTGACCCCTTTCTTTGAGACAGCACGCCGTGCATGTTGCCTATCCTGTCTGCTGCACGCCACTGAATCTCGCCCGTCGACAGTCTGAGTTGTTTTGCTTCCAGCGTGCTGGATCTTCACTTGCAGACAGCAGCGTCTGCACTATTTAAAAAAAAAGAAAAGAAAAAAAACTAGCTGCTGCAACACCGCTCAGTGTACTGTTTTCTGTACTAAAAACTGCGCTTTCAGAAGAGTGACTGTCAGCAGAAAGCAATGGAAGGTCAGGATATCATTGACGTTGAAAATGAGGTCCGCGAAGCCGGGGACAATTCTGCGCCACCTGCTGCCGAGCATCCCGCTGATACGGTAATTGCAATTTCAGAAGCAACAAACGGGGAGATCATGGCTACTGGCCTAACTGTAACTGTTGACTGCTGTTACCATCACTCCATCTCTAGGATGTA